CACCTGTAATAGGTGCTACTCCACGAAAGAGGTTGATCGTGTGAACCCTAAATTTCCTCTGGCCGCGAAGAGTGAGCTCTACTTTGAATCTACACCCCCTCCAGGATCTAAAATCATACTATAGGCTTGGCGAGAGGATCGGTTGATCGCATGCTCTGTGTTCGATATGATAATTCAGACTTTCAGGGTGAATTTTACCATGCTATATATTGTGACGCTAGACCACAAGTGTTTTAAAAAAATCCATGCCATTTCGTGGATGACAGGGGGCCTTATACTTAGGACCCAGGCTTGCCAGGCTCTTCCAGTTTTGAAAGCACTTTTGGACAAAACGAATATGATTATGCTCAATGGAAGCAAAATGCATTAGTCAGACACCGTGCCCAGATCCTGACAATCAAGACAATTATTTGCATCATAAATTACCAGGCTTCCTACGCAACAGACAAGACGTACGATTTTGGTGACTCTGTAGGAGTGGCGGTCTCACTTGGCGCGGCTGGAGAAGATGACTACGTGAAATGTTCGAATAATATGCTAATCCGATATAGACTGTGACCTAGGCGACAGCATTCGGTGGCGTTCTTCCGTTCCCAACTACATCGCATCTTGGAACGTAATAGCATAGGCTGACTTCTTGGAGCTTGATAGGTGATTTCACAGGTGCTCTGACTCTGGTCGAGTGCATTTTTCAAAGTCAGCTGACAGCGAAGACGGAAAGTCGTGTGGAAGTTGCTGAGAGTCATAATTTGTTTATTCCAGGCCCGAGACGAAAGTATGCATTCAAGTGTTTGAGACGAATGAGCTTGAGATTGCCTGCGAAACCGGTCCCCTCGATCACAGTAGAATGAGTCGCCTATACATTGGAAGTTACACGGGTGCATCTCCCGCCAGCGATGACTGGATTGAGGCCCGCGTGCTTGTCTTATACAAACGTGCATTTAGTTTAGTCAGGGGTATCAATTCAAATCACATGTTTCTATGGGGACTATCGCGATGTAGGTAGCCATTCGTTCGATTACCTGGCAAAACTTCGAAACGGGTGAGTTGAGCCAATATGACAGCGTCCTCAATTGCAAGTCGATCTATGAACGAGTGCCGACTACGACGCCGCTGCCCTCTCTCGCTGCGACGCCTACACCATCCAACGCACCGAGTCAATGATCAGAATTCGACTGGCGCCGTAATAATAGATTCTTATACGTAATGGTATTGTGATAGGCAAGACAGCGGCGGACATCTCTGGGCCAGTGCCCGCCCCAACAGAATTTGTTCCAGTACCCACCGCTTCTAGCCAGCGTTGCACATTCGAGAGGCACCCTTTCATATTTCGGTGCACATAGGCAGACACTTGTCTACTGGAGTCTGCTTCAAGCCGCCCCCTGACACCTGCATGTCGAAACGCCCTATTAAATGTCCATTATACTCTGATACATCGCACAAACTCCGAGAACAATATTGTCGCTGCTTATGTTGACCTCGTACATCTTGAGCTCAGAACATTCTTCTCAACAGAGTAGTGAACAGATTTTAAATGCTGCATAATCTCACGATGGACACAGGTGTTGACTGATGTTCCACTTGCAGCATCGAATGATGATGGGAAAATTGTGCTACAGCAAGAATATTCGGTGGAGTTTCAGGACGTTTCAAACAGCCCTCGCAACCTAGCCAATCTCATCAACAGAAGCAAATCAGGAAATCCGGGATACATATACGGTCGTCCTGTACTTGCTGGGCACGCTATAGCAGCGACGTCACAGCTCGACGCGGTATCACCTCGTGCTCGGGGCCTTCAACTTCTGGGTGCTGACAACGATGGTACTTGCACGGACGCTGCCACTGAAAGAGCCAAACATCCGGAGTCCAGATCCTTAAATGTACTTCATCATTACTACAAAGGTCACCTTATCTTTTGGGGTGGACATGCGGTCAGGGTGTCTACTTCAGCTAAACTACAGCCAGGTACAAGACTTTTGTGTGCGGAGGCCCTTTGTCCATTGAGATTGTGGCAAACAGAGCACCTGGGAATACAGGTCGGTCACGGAGTGCACGTCACGGGGAATGCTGTCCCGTGCTTGCCTGTGTTCCGGTATTATTGACTCACAAAATGTCATCTCCAGGCGCTATTTTAACGTCTCAAACATATTTGATGCCAACAAAATCAGAATACCCGACGCACTCGCGACGCCCCGTGTTCCGAGTCTCGTGTCTAAACAACTGCAATTGCATAGATTGGGCTATTCGGCAATGCAGACCCGCTCGATGCATCACAGTGGGTCAATGTCGACGTGCAACCCACGATAGATGCAGCAGCTTGGCAGGAGCGGACCTGGACATGCGAAAATGCAGTGACTTCAATGAACTATCGTGCGAGCCAGCGACTGCAGTGCACCGATGCTGCTGCCCATGTGTGCTCTTAGGTTTTATTTGGGGTTACGTTGGCTCTCGCAGCAACCCACAGGCAAAAATAATTGCAGTACGGCTGGATTTTGGAAAATCAGACATCAAATATCGCTTTGATAGTAACTCAGAGGACAAAAAACAAAGCATCACTATCACAGCCACCGCAAGCTTCATTCAGCGAACTGGTGGCTCAGATGCAAGCTCACCACCATCACCCCCGGTTGCTATATCTGTTCCTTATGACGTATGGTATCCTTTCAAGATTGACTCACACGCAGGGTTTGCGCCCCCGGGAATCTTGAAAACTACTTTCATTATTTTCGTGCTCACAACATTCCACCTCAGTCGCCAATCGACGATGGCGCTATAACTCGGCGCGGGGCCACGTCGCAGCCGCCTTTTGATCGACCTGCCTGGAGTGGCCCCAAGCAGTCCACCCCCAGCGACTAGTCTCAATAGGCCGCGTGGTTTAGGGGGCTGGGGCCCCCGGGGCCTTCTACTGTAGTAATGGGTCTCAGATTTCCCGCAACGAAACTTTGATGGGAAGTAAGAAATGACTATAACCTAGCTTAATCCTGGTAGTAAGCAGTTAACCGGGGTTAGGTGGGTCTCCTTAACCTCAGCGGGGGGCGACGGCATGGGCGCACACTTCAGACGCGCGAATAAGACAGGGTGCGGTCCTCGGGGGTAGCATCTGAGCACACTTCGCAAGGGGGACTCGGGGTCGGGCATTCCAGAACTTCAGCCCGCTTGTCTCGGGAACACGCAGAGGCTGAGATCTACTTCGTAACTGCCATCCCCGCGCGCGCGCGCGAAAAAGACGCCAGTTATCTCCGCTTCTGCGCGTCGCCCGAACCAGCGGATTGTTTTTTCTGAATCCGCAAGATGATTCAGACCTTCTATGCGGCCAGCCCTGGGGTAAGTCGCTGGGCTCGCCAAAGCGGACGGATGACTGGCCACTCGCCAAAACCCGCGGGCTACTAGTAGCTTTAGTTACTGCTTATCGAACGCGGCCCAGTCTGTGCCGTAGCCGCCCTCGTGGAATATAACCCTGGCCATGATGAGGCTATATCCACGGCGCCGACACCGTCGGATTGCCCGGCGGCGCTCTCGACTTGCGCTCCATTCGGTGGCGATCACGGCGAGCTAGGGAGCCCTCGCGTGTTGTCCCCTCCCCCGTCTCTGCAGGGCGATTGTATAAACATGGGTGGCTACTGTCTGCCAGGAGATGCCCGCGTTTTCGACCAAGCAGGTGGGGGCGCAACCAAAGGCGCCGGGCCGCCTTTGGGACTTGCTTTCAAGGCCAATATGGCAAATCTGAATACTAGTCTAGTCCCGCAACTTGAGGAAAATCTTTTTCAATTGGCGAGCCTCGTAAGACACATTGTGTGTCACCTCCGCAGGGTGGTTGCCATCTGGGTCTACGGTTGGCGTGATTACCGTGGTGATATTTGCGCCATGAGAGTCACAGGCTTCCAAAAAATTAATAATTTCGTGGACTGAAGCATCTTTTAGCATGAGCATATGTTTTGCCATGTTCTCGGCAAGGGCCAAGAAACAGCGTTTGGAGTAGTACCAGGTATCAGGTCCAAGCTTTTTATCATAGGGCTCTAGAGACTTGATGATCCGCGAGATACCAAATTCAAAATTACCCTTGGCGCAGTATAACGTTCCAATGACAAGGTTGACAATGCAAAGGTGGTAACATTGGCGGTCAGGCTCGGTGTAGGCCAGCCGTTCTTCCTCTTTCTCAATCTTTCGCATGAGCTCCTCTGCCTCCTCATTTTGAGATGTCATGATATACGAAACGCAAAGGTTAGCAAGGACAATAGCGGGGACATCCAATATATTCTCTGATTTCTTTTTTACAATGGGGTCATAGTAACGAATCGCCTCCTTGAATTTTGACTCCTGCATAAAAAAGACATGTGCGACGTTGAGTTTCCATACCTCATGTTCCGAACAAAACTCAGCGCTCTGTCGAAAGAGGCGCTCGACCATAGGGTAGTTCTCTTTGTCCCAGTAGATTCGGGCCATGGCCATGAGGACGGGAATGTAGCGTTCGAGGGCCTCATCGTAAAATTTAAGAGATTGCTTGATAGCCTCGTTATCACGAGATATCCGCGCATCTTGAATAGCCTTGGTGAGCTTGCGGAGTTGGTCAATATGCTTATTCGTAAGGTCATCGTACTTGCGGTACGCCTCCTCTGGAGACGTTTGAACCATTATTGACGCATCTAGATATTCGAAAAGCTCGTTGGATAGGAACTTATACGTCAGGTGCGTGTTTTCTGCCAGAATATCCGCGGCTAGGTCGTAGTAACCAAATTTGCAGTGCAAGAGCAGCAAATTCCCAAAGGTTTCTGGAGGAAATGGGGGGTTTGAAAGCAGGAAATTCAATTTCCGAAAGCCTGTAGAAGGGTCCTCGTCCATATGCACTAATGCCTGGTTGTGGAGTGTGACTGCATCCAATTCCTCCTCCTGGCGTGGTGGCATATCACTCAGGGCTTCCTTTGCAGCATCTAGGTTTCCCATCTGGTATTCTATTGCTGACTTTAGGTTGAACGCTTCCACGAGACATGTTTCCTGCAGGACTGAACTGTTTCCCACGCTTCGCACATCAATGCCATCTGTGTTGCTTCCCACACTCAGCTCAGGGTGTTCTCGAACTCCACGTTCGATGATTTCTGCAAGGCTCTTCAGTGCTGCTGCGTACTGTTTCTGTTTGTAATAGCATAAAGCGACGTTACACGCGAGGTCTGCTTGGTAGCCCAAAGTATTCATGGCCTCTATGTACTTGCCGCGCGCCTCATCATACTGTCCCTCTTTGAATGCAATCGCAGCATAGTTGATAATTGTTTCTGGGTCGTCCGGGAGACACTGATCAAGAAGCGATTTGCACCCACTCAGTTCGTCTTGCTCGTATTTGATGGCTGCCTGCAGAGAAATTACCCGTTGGGCAAACTGCGGGCTGTCTACTCGTAGGGCTGCGCGAGTAGCATCGGGGTATAAACCAGCCTTGTAAAGAGCCTGAGCATAGTAAAGCTTGTACCTACCAAAATCACACGCTGCGTCTTACGCGAAGACAATCGGCGGCGCCGTTCGTACTCTTCGACGTCGGGGCAAATCATTACAAGCTCCTCGTACGTCTGGGCTGCTGA